AAAATACATGGGGAATAAAGCCGATTTAGCCTCTTAATTTGTTGGACTGTCAGGGGTTCCCCACACCCTGATAGTTCCAAACAATAAGCTTCATTGATCACTTTGGGGCAATTTTCGGTTGGCTTCCTCCACCGCACGTTTGGATTTAGGGACACAAGCTAGGAGATCAACAAGACAATAGCCACGATCAGAACTCAGAAAGACCAAAACATCACTTAACTGATTCCCACTTCCGAGTAGAGCATCTGTAAGCACAGCTTTTCTTTTCTTATTTCTGGATTTTCCTTCCGAAGATGACGCAGAAGATAACGACTGCCTTTTCCTACTAACTTTAGACTTACCTGCTGAAGAAGGTGAAGAAGATTTGGGATTTTTATTTACCTGCAAGTGAAGGGCCCAACTTGGCAACATCCGTTTGGACTCTACTGCATGATGTTTACCCAAATGTATCATTTGGGCCTGAGAATGAGAGTGTTCTATAGGCTAGTCTGAGACTAGTTCCAATTGATCATCTAGGCCAACATCCTCTGCACTAGGGCCTAAAAGAGGAACTGGCCCATCAAGATAAATCAAAGCCTCCTTCGAAACCCAACGTGTCTCCGCTAAAGTCTTTGACTTCTCTTGAACTATCTAGCATGACCGAGAAGATTCTGACTCCTCTAACCCCTGATAGCGTCCTGCAAAAGATAAAAACTTTGATGGGACTAGACAAGAAAACTTTTTCAACTCGTACATAGATTTTTTTACCACCTCAATTCCGTTGTCCAGACACCATTAATGGCAAACAGGAGTGATACAATGTCACCGACAAAGTTGATTATTCCCCTGAACCAGAAGTTTTCTGAAAATAGCGTTGCTCTAACAATTCATCCAGAGAACGACCATCTAATGTTGAACCGCCGGACAAAGGATGAACCTGTTTCCCAATAGTTGTGCCATTAAACATCAACCAAGGACCATAACAATTATGCTGAATAGAATTTGGACCACCAGACTCCGCCTTTAATGAACATGAAGTATCAATATAGCCTATTTTCCCACAAAAATAGCAAAAAATAGGCAATTTTTCATAACAAAAAGGAGCCAAAAAGGTTTAATCTTTACTAGATTGGAGTTGCATGCCCCTCTGAAGTGGTTCTAAAATATCGATCTCTACTTGGAGGTGGAGGACGAGACCATCTTTCAACCCTTGATCTCTGATTTCATCCTTAAGACTCCTACCAATACCAGTAGCAATTAATCCTCTCATTTACCTCCATACTGAGGTAAAAAATCTCAAGATTAAGAACCCAGATCCAGAAGGAAGATCGTAAGAGGAAATCATCTTTAAAATGGAGTCCATCATGCCATGGTTTGATAACCATAAGATGATTGTCACAGTGCCATGGCCCATTTTGCAAAATTTTCTCCCGGTCCTTAGAATCCGGAATTAAGATTTGAAAAATATTGGGTCCAACATTGTAAACCACCAGAGAATCCTCCATCTCCCAAAGATTACCCAAAATCTATTGAAGCCAGCTAATTTTGTAGACTTGATTTGTCCAAATTTTAGTAAAGAGACTTAAAGAACAAGCTTGAAGACCCACACGTGTATCCTCCTCGGATAACACCAAATCTTACTCTCCTTTTCCGTAAGTGAAAAACTTTCAATCATAGATGCCAAATGTTGATCCATGGAAAAAGTGAAGGAGAAAGAGAAGGATAACAAGAAAAGAAAAAACTTATGAACCCAAACAAAGAGAACAGACCAGTACACCGAAAAAGCACAAAGCGTTACATACAATAGAGGAGAAAAATGTGTGTTAAAGCAAAGGGAAAAGAGAGAGAGAAATGAGTGGATGAGAGAGTCCGGCCAATGCTGACATTACATAAACCACACAGACATACTAGACAAGAGAAAACTAAAAGAAAAACCCCTCTCCCCACAGCCAATGGAAACACCACTACCGAGAAAGAGAAGAAGGAAACACTCTGATTTACAGAGACACTCCTAGCAGAGGAGAACACCTACCATGAGGGACATTCATTTGAAGATTCAAATCCCCTTTCATCCTTTACATTGCAAAAAAAGAAAAAAAAAAAAAAAAAATTGTTACATAAGTTGTATGCAAGTTAATCTGCAGTCATGAAGCTTTACAATAATACTTTGCTAAATCTTATTATTGGCAATGACCTATTTAACCAAAGAACCTAATCAAATAACTAATCAACAATTATGATACTAAAACCGGAAGTAAACACCAGTTCACGCAGAGCTTGAAATTAGAAGGAAAGCAACCATGGGTTCCTATGCAATAGTACACTAGGATATTTTGTAACTTTTAAAAGAAACAAGGGGGTTTAGTGCAATTTGGAATTTTCCTAACTTTTTTTTTTAATTTTTTTTTTATGTTATTGGTAAGAAACTTACACACCACTCATATACTCACTTTGTTCCTTTGAAGACTCGAACCCTAACCATCTATCTTGAAAGGTCAAAGAGATACTACTGAACCATAGGACCCTTAATTTTCTTAACTAATAAGTTAGTCAAGGATAAAGAAAATCTTGGGCCTTTTCGTATCTAGTAGTCCATTTGGGTCCCAGTTTCCCAGAATTGAAAACATAAACTAGTCTGTCTAGTCACTTAACTTGGGTAAGGTTTACTAGTCTTCTAATTATCTCAGTAACAATTAATGCAATAATTATATTATAGTATAATAGATTCATAAAAGCATTTGTTGTTGCATTAGCAAGGTAAAATTATTGCATAAGTAATGTAATGACACGCGATGAAAGTCAATCTTGGGATCTGTATTTTTCTTTTAAATGGTTGTTGGAACTTGTTAGTTTCGAAGAAACCCTGAATGTCTAGCAATCTCCTTTCCTTGGGGTTATTCTTTCCCCAATTTACTTGACTGGTTTTAGAATGCTAATACTCAAAAATTAGTCAGAAACAGGCCTCTCAAAAAATTTTTTTTTTATTTTAATTAATTTATTTATTTTGGTTAGAAAAATACTACCACACAACCACAAATGGCGATGAACTTCAACCCCTCACCTCTCCTTCGAATAAATGAGAGGTAAGATTATTTCTAGTTTTAGGCGCTTTTAAAGTTTCTCATTATGACCATAGTCTTAGGGTACAACTGAAGCTCTGCCATAATTTCAGTCGAGTTCATAATACCACTAAAATTGACAAAATTTCGTACTATAAGAAGATCCGCGTTTTTATTAGGTTTCAAAAAAAAATTGTACCGTGATTTTCACCTCTCCATTTTTCTTTCCAAGTCTCTTTTAAATTTTAGAATTTGGTTTTAAACAATATTACAATTCCGATATAACTTCTAAAGAATTGTCAAATATGGGAGTATTTTAAAATTTTCAAAATGGTAACGTTTGGTGCACATTTTGATAATGTTTTAACTCCAGATTGATTCTAAAAATGTACTTTGATGACCATAAAGTCCTTCAATTGCATGCCAGAACTGTCATGGGGTTGCTTAATTGATTTTGGACAGGGATGGTAGTTTTCCAGAATTTACGTGCCAGGTCCAACCCCAAACGATCTGAGTATGTGTTTCTTGCCTAAGTGTTTATGGCTTTGAGAAGCATGCTTATCTGTTCCATTTTGCATTTGCTTATACTCAAAAACCGCGAGAATTCATACTGGGCAGGAATGGTGAAAGGTTACCCCTACCACGCCCCTCTCTCTTTTCGCATATCTCTTAATTTCTATCATCGCAACTCTCTCCCTCCTCACGAAATTAAAGCCTGCACATCTCATCTCTCTATCAGCCCTTTAATTTTTTAGTTGTGATTATTAGCTCAACTCTTTGAATCTTTTGAAATGGAAACTGAAAACAAATACAAAATGTGAATATTTTTTGTTGTTTAGTTTATTCTTTTTTAATTTTTTAAGAATTTCAAATAGACTTGATTAAACATATTTAAACTTAAAAAAAATTTACTAGCTATAATTGCAGCTCACTATGAAATAGTGGTTGGTATTATATTATGCTCCTCTTCCCCTATTTTTACTATGTGCTGTTTATATTCAATTTGGGTGATATTATCTATGTGTAAAATTTTAAGATTTTTGTTCTACATATATAAATGTATCACATTGAATATATAGTACGACATTTTTTTTTACTCATGAACTAACTCATTTTTTTGAACTATATAAATTACAGATGGCAGCTCTTTGTCCATCCCTTTAAAAACTTATTCGATTCTTAGCAAAGAAACTATAGACTAGTTCTTATTATTATTATTACTATTATTTTATTTTATCAAAGTTGTAAGAACGCCTTACCCATTTGTTCTAACCCAAGCCCAACTAATTGAGATCATTACGTTCTAATTTAAACGTTTCAAATGCGATTTGTTTGATCAAATCATCACACATTTTCTTATTCAGAACATCAAGTTTGAATTTGTACATTTGATTCTTGTGATCAAATTATTTCACTATTCATACATGACTTTAATCTATAAAATACAAAATATATCTTTTAACTTAGACCAAAATGATAAAATGATTGTTATGAAAAAAACATAGAGAATCAATGGGATATCGAAGCAAACTAATAAAAGCAAAACACAAATCAGAGTAGAGTGTTAAAACTTATACACAATACATTATTTCTTCTCTCCCATCTCATTCCTTCAAAATCAGCAACTAGGATTTTGAATTCAAAAATTAATAAACCATTCAATCCTCAGATATACAATATTCTACATCGATAAATTTTCGAACATAAACACAAAATCACATTCAAACACTCACATGTGTAATCGACTAATAATATTTTTGAAAATTTGAACAAAATGTATACTCTTCTAATTGGTCAATAGTTCTAATTAAGTATATGTAATTAAAAAAAAAAAAAAATTGATTTACTAAGGATGATATTGGTCAGGTGGCGGAGGATTATTTTCAAAATCTTTTTTCTTCTTCTCCAGTTGCGCGTGATGATGATTTTTGGCATATGATCTTTCCTAAAGTTTCTCTAGAAATGAATTCCGAGCTTTTCAAGGATGGTTTAGTTAAGGAATTGTACCAAGCCATCAGTGGTATGGGTTTTTTCAAAGCTCCAGGTCCTGACGGCTTCACCCCCCCTTTTTTCGAGTCCAATTGGGAGATGGTCAAGGATGATCTTCTTACGGGCTTCAACTATTTTCTTCATGGGGATCAGATGCTCAGGTGTCTTAATGCCACCAACTTGGTTCTGATTCCTAAGGTGAAGCATCCGGTCTCGATGTCTCATTTTCGTCCTATTTCTTTATGCAATGTGGTGTATAAAATTTATTCCGAGGTTCTTGCCAATCACCTGAAACTGATTCTTCCAATGTTAATTAATGAATCCTAGAGTGCCTTCGTTCCAAACAGACTAATTCACGAAAACATTGTTATTGCTCATGACCTCATGCATGTTATTAAGTCTAGAAAGAAGAGTACTTCTCCAGGTTTATTGGCAATCAAGCTTGACATGGCAAAAGCATATGACAGAGTGAGTTGGGATTTTCTTGCAAAGTTCATGATACATTTGGGCTTTGCCTGTAAGTAGGTGGATTTAATTATGAACTGCGTTCAAACAGTGCCTTTCTCGATGGTTATTAATGGGGATTGTGGGGCTCGGTTTGCTCCTTTTTGGGGCCTCCGTCAGGGTGATCCTATATCACCTTATTTGTTTCTTTTCTGTACTGAAGGCCTCACAACTCTCATCCACGATGCTATACGTCAGAAAAAGCTTACTGATTTTAAAATGGGTAGGGGTTGCTTGCCCATCTCTTAGTCGCTATTTGTGGATGATGCGCTACTTTTCTATTCTGCTAAAGAGAGTGAGTTGTGTTGTAGTAAACTTATTCTTGATCGGTATGAATCGCTCACTGGCCAATTAGTGAATTTAGAGAAATCTTGCCTTTATTTCAGTCCCAATACTCCTGCTCCCTTGTGACATTCTCTTCATCTTTCAGTGGGTATTCATAATGTCGACTGGTCCAATAAGTACTTAGGCCTTCCTTTTCTTTTGGGTCGGTAAAAAACTGTTGCTTTTAGTTTTTTAGCAGACAGAGTTTCTTCCAAAACTCAACTTCTCAAGGGCAAGCTTCTTTCTAAGGCGGGGCTTGAGATTATGCTTAAAGCTGTTCTCTTGGCTACTCCTTCATATGCCATGCACTACTTCAAAATTACTAAGCACCAATACAAGACTTTATCTGGTAAGTTTCTTTTTTTTTTAATGGAGTGGTGAGGAGAGAACCAACAAAATTAAGTGGATTAGTTGGGATACCCAGTAAGTCTAAGGTTGTAGGGGGTTTGGGTTTCAAAAATGTTGAAACATTTAACCTTGCCCTTCTTGCCAAGATGGCTTGGCGTATGGAAGTGGGGGATGATTCTTTGCTTTACAAGCTTTTCAAGAAAAAATATTTTAGTTGGTGTAGTTTTCTTGATTCATCTGTTATTGCTCGGTCCTCATGGGTTTGGAAGAGTTTGCAAGCTACCAAAGGGGTTATTCATAGAGGTATGAAGTGGCGGATTGGGGATGGTTTCTGCATTAATTGTTGGAAGGACAACTGAATTCTGAACCGCTCTAATTTAGCAGTCACATCTCAGATGAATAAGGCTCATTTTACCTCGGTCGCCGCTTTGATTAATGATTCTACCCACTCTTGGAATACTGATTTGATTTCTCGTTTCTTTAACCTTTGGGATAGAAGTCTTATACTTCAGATTCCTCTCCATCAGATGGGTGGGATAGACCGTAAAATTTGGGGGTTAACTTCTTATGGCCGTTTTTCAGTTAGTGCCTATTTTGTTGTTCTTTCCCTTTCCAATCCTATTAAGCATTCTCCTAATATTGCCAATTGCAGTTTTGATTCTGAGAAGCAGACTCTATGGCGGCATGTTTAGAAAATTAAGGCTTATAAAAAGATCCAACTATTTTTATGGCAGAGTTTACATGAGCGCTTGTCGGTGCTTTCTCTACTTCGGAATAGAGGCGGGTCTGAAGAGGTTTCATGCAAACTGTGTGGGACTGAGGTGGGGGACTATTGATTATATCCTTTGTACTTGCTCTTTTGCTTGCAAGGTATGGAAGCTCAGTCATTTTCATTTGGATTTCAGTTCTATTTCTCCTTCATCTAGGCAAAAACAATGGTCATATATCATTTCTTTGTGGGAAAATTGTTGATGAGTGCTGAAAATTACGTATTTAAACCCCTTAAGCTTAGGCATTCTAGTACCTTTATCTATCTTACTTTACCGTTTTAGATTAATTTTGTATTATTTTCATTTTCAAGCATTTATCCCGAAAATAAGCTAACTCAGCCAAATAAGAGCTTAATTGAAGCAATTATGGGATTAAACAAAGAAAGGAGAAAGAAGGAAGCAAATGAAGCCAAAGGTGGGAAGCAGCAAAGTTCGATCAATCCAACTTCAAGGTTCGAACGATCGAACACTGATCGATCTCAGTACTTCAAGATAGATCCAAACCTTGACCCAAAAGCAAAAAGTCCAAAGTTTGATCAATCCAACAACACCCTTCGATCGATCGAACACTTTTGTCCTTATTCAAATGATTGATCTCATCCACAGCTGTACCACCCACTAACCACTTTTGTCCATTTCCCAAAAATATCTCCCAAAATATCTCGGATTTGTCTTTTCCCAAAAAGCTCAACCAGTTGGATCGATCCAGCCTAAGTTCAATGGATCTCAGCCAGTTCGACCGACCCAAGTCCAAGGTTCGATCGATCGAACTTCCTCCAGTGCAAAAAAGTTAAAAAGCCAGCTTATTCAATCCGTCCTCTATCCAATCATTAGAGAATATTCTTTGCACGACGATAGCTCATTTGGTGTGTCACTTGACCTACCTATAAAAGGAATATGATGCACTTTTTGAATGAGAGACTTAGCATTTGATAGATAAAACTTTAGAGGCTATTCTTAGTGTAAAAGAAAAGAAGAGGAGGCTAGAGACACCATTGGAGTTCTTCATCAACAAGGAGCAGATTTCAACCATGGAGTTAGCCCTTGAGGGTTGGAGCAACATCACTATGAGTGGCTAGACATCCTCTTGGGGCTAGAGTTACCCCAAGCATGCTTTCTATATCTTAATCTTGTGTATTATTGAGGAATTAGTGTTGTAATTAATGTTTTGACACTTTGATATATATAGATCTTGATTGTTCAATGATTTATGTGGTTAAATGCTTTCAATTGATCATTTCATTCTATCCATATGTCTATGTATGCTAGAATAGATGTTCATGTGCTTATCTCTAGATTTTGTGTTATTGATGCATGTCTATGTGTATTGATGCTATAGATTTAGAGATTGTCAAAACATAGTGCTTAATGAAACGCTCTTGTGATTTTCTTGATGGTTCATACTTATTCCTTGATGGATTGTGCCTCTCCCCTAGTTTATTTTCATGCTAGTAGTGTAGTTGTAGTGTAGTGTTAAATGGGAAGACAATCCATGCTTGTTGTTTGATGATCCAAGCTTTTGAATACAAGTAGTATATGTCTCTAACCTTGTGTTGTATTTGGATTGTGAGCTTAATGAAAGGATTAATGACTTGTTTTGATCTATTATGCCTTTCACATATTATTTAGACAATATATGCTTCATTGCTTAGATATATTGTGCCTTTCACATGATGTTTAGACAATACATGCTTAACTAGTCATCATTGCTTGTTGAATCAACCAAACACACACACACCAATATTGCAACACACCATTTGCCCTCATTAGTCACTTGTCAACGGCATAGAAATGCATTGCTTGGTGGTGATCTCTAAACCCCAAGACTTTTCTCTCTCTTATTTACTCTTAATTGCATTCTTTTGTTATCAATTAGTTTAATTTAATTGCTCTCTAATCAACCAACCAACCAATTGTTTGATCACTCTACCTACTAACCCTAATAGCGATTCCACGACCTTGTCCGACCCTCACAATCCCTTGGGACGATCCCTACTCGCCCTAGCTATATTTATAGTGAAAGGTAGTAGTGGCTTTTACAAATGTAAAACTCTTGGCCCTCGCCTTAATTGCACACACTCCAAACTTGATGGTGGTAGTGCGACCTTTGGCCACAACAAGTTTTTGGCGCCGTTGTCGAGGATTGATTGATTTGATTTGGCAACGTCGGAATTATGGAATCAATTAGGATTAGTACTCTTTTGATCGTGTCTTTACTTTATTTTTATTCTTCTTTTTGGTTACTTATTATGTTGTTCTTACTTGACTAGGTATATTATTAGAGTCGAAGCAAGCAAAGGAGCATTCAAGCTAAGCAAGCAAGGAAAAAAGCTAAAAATTCTAAAAATTTGCTAAGCTAAGCTTTGAATTTGGAGTTGAAGTGTTAAAGGACCTTTGTGAGACTTTCTTTACTTAATCCCTTAGTTAAATCGTCGGCCCGCGTGGAGGCTTGTTCGTAATTGTTCTTTGCATCATTGTTGTTAAAGCGTGGGACTATGAATTAAGTGTTTGTGGAGGAATTTTCATTGCATTGTTGTGAAGGCAAAGTGTTTGTTATTCTTTGTGCTTGTTGTGCTTTGCATTGTGCATGCATGGACTTCGTTTATTGAGACCAACTCTTGTCCCTCTTGATTTGCACCATGAATCCATCGTTAGAAACTTAGGGGAAGGGGAAGTTCAAATAGAACCAATCTATCAATGGATAATCATGTTGAGGACCTTGGTCACATAGACCAATAAGGTATCCTTCATCCTAATGTGCACAATGAGAACATACAAGTACCATTAGGCATGCCTAGGCTATTCATTCACCAACCACCACAACAACAAGGCCAAGTTCCATATGGAATGCCAAGGCCAATATATGCTCCACAACCTCCCATCATCAATTAAGGAATTCAAAACCAAGGTGTTCATGTTGCACCTCAAGTAGCTAATCCACCTCTTGCTTTAAGAGATCATAATGTGCCTAATGAGTATAATCCACCTATATGCATCCAATTGCCTCCATTTAGAGCACATCATTATGAAATTAAGCCACAAACCATTCAAATGCTTCCTAACTATCATGGACTTCTAAGTGAAGAACCTTACAAGCATTTGGATGAGTTTCTTGAAGTATGTTCCACCGTAAAATATACGGCCATACCGGAAGAGGTTTTAAGACTCAAACTTTTTCCATTCACCTTAAAAGACAAGGCAAAGTATTGGTTTAACAATCTTAGGCAGAAATGCAACAAGAGTTCTTGAAGAAGTACTATCTGGTTTCTAAGACCAATGCCATGAGAACCTCAATTCGAGAATTTTCATATAGCGATAGAGAAACGTTTCATGAGGCATGGGAACGCTTCAATGAGTTACTTAGGAAGTGTCCACATCATGACATACCCAAATGGCAATTAGTTCAATATTTCTTTGAGAGCTTATCAGACAACTATAAGGGTATCGTTGATGCTTCCATGGGTGGCTCATACATTGATAGGCATGAGGATGACGTGTGGCATCTTTACGAGAGCATGAGTGAAAATTCTTTGCATAGAACATTATCATCTAAGAATGGTAGAACTTCACAAGGTAGGAAGACTGTTTGGCTTGTATCAAGTCGACCATTCAAATGAATTAGCCGCCGAAATGAAGTCTTTATCTCAAAGGTTTGATCAATTTTTGATTAACTAAAACTCGGCGAATCAAGTATCTCCCTTCCCTAACCATTCTCATCATGCATCAAATGAAACATGTATGACTTGTTCTAGTGTTCTTCATTCTACTTCTTATTGTCCTCACGGACAAGTGCAAAATGAACCTAAT